TTGGTGTGGAGAAAACCCAGGGAAGAATTTCGAAAACAGAACTTGGTGCCAACAGTAAAACATGGTGGAGGAGGAGTTATGGTATAGGGGTGTATGTCGTCCGCTGGAGTTGGTACTCTTGTTTTTATTGACAGTATAATGAATCAGTACAAGTATATTGACATTTTAAATCAAAATTTGAAATCTTCAGCACGAAAATTGACTCTTCATAACGATTTTAAATTCTACCAGGACAATGACGACACGCACACTGCTTTGAACATTAGACTCTGGCTGCTGTATAACTGTTCTGAAGTAATAAAAACACCACCATAATCTCCAGACTTAAATCCCATAGAGAATATTTGGCAAGAATTGGAATCAAGAATTCGCAAACACACCATTTCTTCAAAACAACAATTAAAATCGGTGCTTCAAGACGAATGGGGTAAAATCACTCCAGAAATCACAAAAAAAAAAATTAATCGAATCCATCCCAAGAAGATTAAATCATGTTTTAAAAGTAAAAGGAAATCCAACAAAATATTAAAACCTTTTAAAAAGTAAACTTTTGGGATAAATATTTGATGGAAAAGTAAGTGTCCCATCACTTATGTGAGCCATTTTTGGCTCCGTTCTAAACAATTGTATTTTTATTAAATTAATATTTTAATATTTTGAGAAAATCTATGTTATGTAATAATTGTTACTAAATTTAAGTATGAAACACACCCACAGAAAATTTTTACATGTTTTTTTAATTTATTTTATTACAGTTTCCTTTTGTAAAGCACAAGTGTCTCATCACTTTTTTGAGACACTGTATATAGGAAAAACATCACAAAATAAAATGATAAGAAAAGAAGAATCGCCGCAACATTCTTATACGTCTGTATTCGTCATCGTTAACAACCAGTTTGCGCGCTGATGACGCATGAAAGTTACATCGTACAATTACATTTACGGCTGCAAGGTCTTCGAATGAAGATATATTGATATTGCGTTGGACCAACGTGTGTATACCACTTTCTCGGATTTAAATTCAATCCACATCTGCAGTCCACATCTGCGGACGTGGGTTCGAATCCCACCTCTGACACTTTGTTTATATAGGATTCACTAATAAACATCACTAGTAAATATCACTAATATTTATCACTAAAAACCATCGAGTTAATACTAAACTGCGATTTGTTTATATAAATTAAAATAAGAAGAATGATAGTCACAGCATTTTTACACTTCTGCATTCGTCATCGTTAACGTTACAGTTACAGTTTCATGGCCATTTCCCACATGTATGATATCAACATTTTTGCATGGTATTCCTATTGCGCCTCCTCGACACGTCTTTCTATGTTCCGAATACGGCTACAGTTATACAGAGCATCAATTACAATTATTCAGTTACAATATCCGTTATAGTTTTATAAGGACCAGTCCCAAATGTCACCAAATGGTGGACGAGTTTGACGATTTTTGGTGATTTCTCACCAAATTTTCCGCAAAACCGTTGCCAAGTTGGCGATATCTTGCCAAATTAGAAAGCTAGCCATTTACTCAGTATTAAACAGACTTCCCTTATATTCTTATTTTTTCACAGCTTTTCATGTTACATTTTACAGCAACATTTTCGCCTATAATTGTACTAAAATCATCTATACGTGTGCAAAATTCGGAACAATATTATATATGTTTGGTAATGCCGATTGCAATAAAAAACGGGAGGTGCACAACTAGGTCTTATAGCAGTCCCATATACATTTTACAATCCGTTTTGGAAAAAAGTCCTTTATTCTGTTTGCATGTACAAATCTCACGCCAAAAATATCGCCCAAATGGATTCGGGAATGGTCGAAATTGATATATCTGTCGAAATAGGATACCCGAAATTTTTCGCAATTGTAATACTGCCTTTACTTCATACAAGCAAGTAAAAATGCTTCGCACTATACAAAAAAAGATCGATTTTTTTTTTTTTTTCTGACAGCTGATTTGTTCTTAAATTTAGTTTCCGTGCGTTGCTACAAATTGATGACTTAAACACAGTTTCAATATATTGCTAAAATTACGCTGAATCGAGCAATATATTACTGTAAAGAAAGAAAAAAGTTCTATTGTTTACAATGGAAACACAGAAATTTCATCAGCACAGGTGCATTAGATCTCAGCGTAAAGGTAAGCTTCTTCATATCATTGTCAATCTTGATAACAAACTGAAGATTTCTTGACTCACTGCACGAGATATAAATTTCATTTTCAGACCCGATTTCAAGTAAGTTGTTAATAATTTATCCCTAACTTTAAAATCTTATCACTGCATAATCAATACTTTTATAATACTGAATATATGTTCAAAAGACATAACAATGAAATCATTGATTATAATTCGATGTTTAAAATTAAATTCAAAATACAATATTTATAGCATATTATATTATAAGCAAATTGTTTATAAAAAGACTAAAATTTGTACTCTAAATATTACCAGTAAAGTAAGGAAGTCTATCAATCTTTGACGAAAATCTGAAATTATGGAATTATATCAGACGTTGAATCTGGTAAATTATTAACATAATTATTAATGATAATAATTATCTGTGTATATTAATGATTTTATTTATTTTCCTGAAGTAAAAAGTCTTTGTTTGAGAATTCTTTATTTTAGGATTTAAATTATTAATAATAATATCTTTCTCGGGAAAAAGTGTTTCACTTAAGAGATGCTTAACTTACGAAGTATCAACGAGTAAATTAAAGGAAAGAGGAAAGATTTAAAGAAAGAAATGTTTTGTAACTTCATTGTTTGAAAAATGTCTCAAGAGTTTTGTTTTCCTTATTTACAAAAATTTGGCCTTTATTGAACGCGACTTTATGTCATAAAATGGTAAACATTTCTCAGAAAAAACTGAAAAAAAGTAGGAAAAAAAAATCTGAAATAGTTCATATTTTAATGATCGCTCAAAAGGATTTATTAAGGTGTTTTACGCTCTCCCTGACCTGGCAGTCTACCACTTTGCTCCTGCACTCACTGCTGCTAGCTAATAAGCTAATAAGCACCAGTTTCTTCGCATTTACGCCACATGCAATTCAACAGAAAATGGCAAAGGTTTAAAAAACAGCACAGTAATATACCTGTAAAATTCCTGATGCAACGTTAAGTATTGGCATACCGTTTTTTCTATTTTTTTCAGTCCTTTCTCTGTTCATCATATTAATGTTCTGCATTTTAGTAAAGATGGGTAACAAAACTTTTTTGTGTGTGTCTTTTTTTATTAATATTTTATGTGTTAATTTTATTTATTAGATATCAGGTTTTTGTACTTACGTGACATAAAATTCAATTCAACAGCAAAATCATAAAATATTTACAAACACCATATCTTTAGAATTTGCCCACCAGCGGCCGAGTGGTAAAGACGCTGAACACTGGTAGTTCGGTCCGAGGTTCGAATCCCGCGAACGGGCTGGCTGCATGGGCGTTTTCGTGGTTTTCTCCATGTGTAACGTGTATACGAGCCAGTTACCCTTAGAAAGTTCTCCACGAAGGCATCCCTTCCTTTAGGCAAATAGCCCTCGTGTGCTTTGCCATAATTGAATAATCCTAATCCTAATCCTAATCTTTAGAATTTCCGACAGACAAGCCTCGCGCGCTGGAGATTTGCTTAAAAAAAATCGTTATATGGCGCTGTGTTAGCTCTACATTGTTAGTTCGAGGGTAATGAAATCCTGCGCTTTTCGCCTTGAACAAAATTACGAGTAAAATCACTACTGTCCATCAGGAGATTTCCCCCCCCCCCGGGGTCGACTCAGGAGAATTCCTGGGAAGTACTGGTTAGGATTTGTACCTAGGCAGTCTCAACCACGAGGGTATATAATTTGACTTCACAGGACTAGCACCCGAGTATTGTACTCCGGTTGGTTCAGGCTTGGCAGGGACCGTACTGGTACTGTCGTGTCTGTTCCTTCGGTTGTGGTGGGGCTAGATTGGAGATTGTCGACCGAGTCCCCGGTAGGTTTGAGCCCATTCAGTTCTCGTGACGGGGACTGACAGAGTGGTCAGAGCGCAGTTAGCGACGTACGTTTAGCCGATGGAGTAGCCCCCGGAGGCAAACTAATTCATATCTACGATTAGTTCTGCCCCAGTTTTTATAAAGCTGGGCGGGGACTGCGGGGGTTGAGCCCGCGAGGGCGAGGTCCCCTGGACCCATGGAGGTAGGAAACTTCCATGCCTGGACCATACCTCCATGCCTGGACCTACCTCCATGCCTGGACCATAGATATCCAAACTCCGCATGGGTCAGCAAGTCGGACCTGGGTCGGGTTGTCTGCTGCGTCTGTCTGTCCATTAAATTTCTAAAAAATTACTCCCATCTCCCTAAATAATGCCTCTTCACTTTTCGTAAAATGCTAACGATGCCGAGCAATTCAGCTAGTAATTAAATAAAATTATTAAATTGTTCCCAATTTAATATTTGCATTTCAACTACAAATATGACCTTAAATTAAGAGCTATAATTCTTATAACATATTAGCAGTAAACTTCAAGACGTGAAATAGGCTTTCAAACGAAAAACTGCAAGTTTAATATGCATAAATAAACAATTTGATAGAATAACTCAGAATCCAACTGTGGAATTTTTCTGCGTCTACATTACATTTTTAGAAATGTGTCCTAATAGCTGTTAATATTAATGCTAATTTTCAAAAACCAAACTGAATTATTCCTACTAGATAAAAATTAAAACCTTTTTCTTTTCAAAATAACGATCAAACTTTCTGCAACCGATTGACTTTCTATTCCTTATTTTAAACACCAAGAGTATCACTTTGCGTTATTTATTGTATTCAGTTTTGCTTGAGCTGGCTTGCTGTGACATTTTTGGTTAAGCAATGAATCATGATGAGTCCTTCTTATTAATGCTATGATACTGCTGAAGTATTTCTCACAGTTTTGCCAAAGATATTTATAAATATATAGATATATACATTTAATTTTTTGATTCTGTCTCAGCAACACAATGACATTCTTTCGTGCTGCCGTTGTGTTACTCATCCTGTGTGTGGTCAAAGAAGCAATTGGGCAGTTTCCGTACCTTGGTAAATGCCCGTCTCCAGAAGTGCAAGAAAACTTTGACATGGAAAAAGTAAGTTACAAGATATATTCCCATATGATTTTCTAAAACCCTTTCGTATTTCCACTGTAATAAAATACCTTACCAATAATATAATAAATAACACGCAAGTGTGATAACAATTATGAAAAATTTGCTATAACTAGTGCTCTGCGATTCAGAATTCTTTCAGAATCTTGTAGTCTACTACAATAATTCAACACATATAAGCACCTAGTGATTCATTTAAAATTAGCCATTATCGTCGATTCTTTTCGTTTGCTGCATGAATCCAGTGTTTGGGAACATCAAGGACGCTATTGATCTATATTCTAAGCACTATACGTAACAAGGAAAATAATTATGGGCTGAAGATAAACTCTGTAAAAACACACATTTCCTTAATTAGTAGCTCTTGAAAACAATGACTTTTACGAGTCATAGCAACAGGAAATGGGTGAAAGACTGGAGATATTTTAGGATTAGTTATTACTTGTATTATGAAACAAAAGATTTTCTTCAGAAAAAATATCTCTGTTTAAAATTCAGTTCACCTTCGTCTCTAATATAATAGCTATTTTAAACTTAATAAAGTACGTGATATTTCTAAGTCCAAATATTCTTAACCGAAACAAAATACCGGCATTATGCAACATTCTATTCAACAAATATGGACCAAATGTGCTGAACTGTGGTCCGTTCTTTAGGAGACGTAAGTTCGTTTTCTGGAGAGTTGTACCGACCAGATATTAGAGGACTGATCCGGGATTTTAGTCTCTTTAGTTTGAATTATTTCACATTTTTTATGCGCCCAGACGTTAAAGCGGTTAGTGCATCTGACTGCCGAACCAAAAAGCCCGGGTTCGAATACCAGAGAAGGCATGGATGTAAATTGTTTATTCCTTCGTAGATGGCAACGGTGGCCGACCTATTAGGTGCCTACATAATAAAGTGACCACTACTTCCAGCCTCAGAAGTGGTCATTGTTTAAAATATGTTCCAATGCCCAATGCAAAATTACCATTTTATGAAAGCATTTTTAAATAAAGCATAGCATTAATTAGCATTTTTGTGTAACTTGTACGAAGATAGATTAATACGGGTTATTATTTTTTCATATTATTATTTCAATATAATATTTTTATTGTTAAATCATTGCATAATCTTTGTGAAAAATCCTGCATTACCTCATGAAAATTTCGCTTTCTTATTTTGTTCTTTAAAGACAAATACGAACAACAAAAGCAAACACAGATCTAAACTGTTAAGAATCTTTTCAAGTATTCTTTAGTTTAAAAATTAAATAGATGTTATTTTAGAAAACTCTTTAAGAAGCATTAAATAAAGAATTAAAATTTAATAATTATAAATATTTTCAATCTGTTTTAGTATGTGAAAGATTTGGTAATTTTTAATTACCCAATTACTTTTCATAAAATTAGCAAGCAACAACCTTGTATTTGGCGTACATTTAGACATGAACTCCGAAGTCTTGCTATGTCATCCGGCCAACGAAAAAATGTCTTCTTTTTAAAATTCTACATTTAGCACTGTCAAAGTTTTTTTCTCAGAACCTTTTCTTGCCAACGAACGCAATTTTTTTAAATCAGTTGTCATTGACAGATTGAAGATTTTTTCCCGTGTTCATTGGCAAAGCCTTTGAAAAACTTTCAGTTTACCACCAAAGAAGACATCCGCTATTAGATATAATAATATAATAATTTTGCCGTTCTTCCATTCCATACTTCTGTCAGTTACAAAATTACACGGACTCTCCAGAAGTTCAAATTTCAACTAATTTTCTTGCTTATCAATGAATTCCATGATTTGATTCTTAAGGATTCTATTTCCGACTTTAACTCTTGGGGAATTTATAGCATCTCTTGTCAGTGTGATTTTCGTATCAAGGAATACGAATCTTATGTTCGAAAAGGCGAAATTAGAGTTTTCGATAGCTAAAAATAGATGAAAATTTAGTAATAATTCTTTCGTTGAGTCTGCAGAAATTATCTAAGAAGCTTCCTCAACTAGTGAGATGGGTTTTCCTGAAGCTTCACATATTCACAAAGATTTACTTGTTTAGTTAGATTGTAAGGTACTTCTCCCGCCTTCTTAACGTGCCTTCGTGGTGTAGTGGTCTGCATGTTGGGCGCGTATTCCAGAGATCCGTGGTTCGATTCTCGACGAAGGCGTTGCTCATTTTTCATGACTCTTGCTTCCAAAAAATACCTAATGTCTCTTCAAGATTACTACATTTGTTTAGTTAGATTACCACATAGATTTACCTTGTTTAGTTAATGGCTTGTTAGTTAAAGTTTAATCCAGTCCTTTCTAGCGCTTTTAAAATTCTATTAACTTAATTTTAATATTTTTCTTTACTGTTTTCCTCAACAATCACTATCTTTTCGTTTGCTTTACTGTCATAGCTTATCAATGCGACCATTGCGACCGCTGCTTTCCGAACTTGGATATTCTTTTGCTCCTGACGAAGAGGGACCTGTACCTTGTTTGCCCTGGAATATCGATTGAATTCTTCACTAAATCTACGCCGCACACAAGGTTGTTACTTTGCTAATTTCATGTTTCACTTTAGCGTGTTTCTCTTCTGTTCCAATTACTTTTGCTACACATGGCGTATCAATTTTCGAATACTCGAATATTTGAAAAACAAGTTATTTGTGGTGTCTTTCTTTCTCCGACAGTTTAAGGGAAAGTGGTATGAAATCGAAAGAACAATGTCCTTTCTAGAAATCGGGGCCCAGTGCGTTTCCACAAATTTCTCTGATGCAGGGTACGAAGATGGGTCAATAGAGGTTATCAACGAAGGCAAAAGCGCCATTTTGTAAGTTTTATTTTAATATTTAGTGCGAGTTCTCACATACTCATTTAAAAATTCAAGACTGTCTAATATAAATTGTTCTTATATACTATATATTAATGTTCTAATATTCTTTATTTATTAGATAACATATTCTTCGCACTTCCGTGATATATACTTCAATTCAACAGCAAAATCACGAAATCTTTAAAAACACAATATTTTTAGAATTTTCCTCCAGACTCGCGCTCTGGAGATAAAAATGTTTTATTCCATACAGTGTTGCCACTGCTCGTATTCAGAATGTTGAGTTTGTTAAACAAAAATTCATTAAAGTTTTACAAATTATGAAATATAAAATTCGAAATTCAAAATTCAGGCTTCCAGGTGCCAGTGTTTCGGTGGAGGACAAAGTTATAAAAAATTTAATGGCTCGAGGTACCGTCGCGTTTTCAGTATGCAAAAAACATACATACACACGTATATACAGATTATTCAATTATTATTCATTACTCAGTTTCGTTAAAGATAATACAGGAAGACAGTATCTGATAGCAATAGTTTGGGAAAGTGGTTCGCAGTTTATAGGGGAAATGCAAAATCCCGTCTCGAGACTAATAGGCCATTCAGGCTAAAGCTCTTTTGGACTGCAAATCTAAATTTTTGTGCTGCAAACAGTAATAAGTTTTGTTTTACTAACTAAATACTCTGTTTTACAAGAATAAGATGAACAATTAATAGTTTCAATTTAACTACGCTCAAGCAGATTGTCGTAATAATGTAGGTAACGCTATTTAAAACATTTTGCTGATGGCATATATTCTTGATAACAATTAAATTTCATATTTTGTGATATATTTATGATTTGTAAAATTTCCACAATATGCATACGAACATTGTAAAAATTACTGTTTTATGTAATCAACTTTAAACATTAATATCTCATTTCCTGATTCGTTTAGTCTTTTGGTGCATCATCTTAATCTAGAGTTGGTGACCTTTTTACTTCCTTGTACGAAGTAAAAAGTATTGTAATCGCGAAAAGTTTCAGGCAGCATATTTCAACGAAAATATCCATTTTGACCGCTATCGAAAGCAATTTAACGATGTTTTTGCGTGATATCTGTACGTAAGGACAGAATAAAAGACTCGTTTCCTAAAAAAAATTATAAAACTGCTTTAAAAAATTATAAAACTGCTTTAAATCTAATTCTGAAGAGAATTTTTCGTGGCGTCTGTACGAACGTATGTACGTACGTGCGTAGCTCAAACACGAGTAGCCTCAGAACGTTGAAATTTTGTATATAGAACTGCTATAACATGTAGATGTGCACCTCGTATTTTGATTCCAACCCGCCGCACCAAACATATATAAATATATTTATATATATATATATATATATATCAATCTGTTACCCGGCTCAGTGATCTCAGTTACTTTACTCTTATATGTTTGTAAATTGTACATTTTTTGCTTTAAAAATGATTGAATTATGTTGTTTTTATCTTCCGGTTAAGGTTTTTATGCCTTTAGTAAGTCTGTATGCAATATTTTTAGAATTATCAACAATTTTAAAGTTGTTTAAGTGCCGCTAAGCCTTTTTTTTTATGGCGGCCATTGATTGTTTACATTTGAAACAGCAGACTAGTGGATTTGTTGCCAATCTAGAGAAACTTAGCTTCGCAACAACAAAGATAACGCCTTCATTTATTATTGCCGATTAAATCATGCTTAATCCTTTCTGGAATTTTTTCAAGGAAATAAGTGTTTAAGATTTACTTCGTAATTTTTAATACAGATATTTTTGAGTTTTTATGTATTTTTGCCTTCTCGCGAAGTGAGAACCGAATTAAATGAATGAGAAATACTCAATCGTCTGTGAGAAACTGTTTCTTTTTTTGTTTTGTTTGCTTAATTTCTTTTATACATCATTCTAGCTTCTATTTGAATAGAACATGTGGCAACGATTAGATAATTCTATTCTTTAAATGATATAAATTTTGTGCATTATGAGTTATAATATGAACGAAATATAATACTGTTAAGTGAATCTAGCGCCAGAGTGTCGCTATGGTAAACAAATACTAGAGTGAATTTTAAAGAATGCGTTTATTTTATTGTGGTTTATGCGCTGTCGGCGAAGTAGATTTAATTCAATCCAATAAGTTTAAATAAAATACAAGAAAAAATGCGTATAATTTAATATTCCGTACATGTAGTGTACACATCAGATTTTTTATAGTTAGAAATTAATTAGAGGAATTTAAAAAGCGTATTTTAAAAAAATGTATTTATTTTCAATTATATTTTATAATTTTAAATGAGCTTATGAGACGTCCCGGTTTGATCGGGTTTGTCCCAATTTGAAAGTATGGTCCCAGCCAGTTTGACATTTTGATCCGAATATTTGTCAAAAATTAAAAATTGTCAAATGTAATAATTTTTTACAGTTACTGTCACAAAATAAAAGTACAGATCTCTATTTAAAGATGAACGTCTTAATGATTGCTTACGACCAGTAATGTGATCGTTCTCTCCTAATTACAAAGCAATGGCTTATGAAATGAAATGCCAAATATCACAAACTTTTTTGTGTACTATTTAGTAACTATTTACTTTACATAAGAATGCAATGAATAATTTTTTCACCTTAACTTTTTTATTATTATTATGTACACTTTGCACAAAAAAAGTTCTATATCTCCCGTTTTACTGCGCCGATAGGCAAAATTTAATTTGCCTTTTTACATCTCGAAACCTTAACTTGTATTTTTGCCTTCTCGCGAAGTGAGAACTGAATTAATTGAATGAGAAATTTTTAATCGTCTGTGAAAAACTGTTCTTTTTTGTTTTGTTTGCTTAATTCCTTTTATACATCATTCTAGCATTAGATTTGGAATTGTTCTGACATAAGTATTTTGATACAAAATCGTCCTTTCCTGAAATAGCATACCATCTTTTCCCATTTTTCGATTCTACAATTAAAGTTATATTAAATCTTAAATTTTGAAAATTTTGGTGAAAAAATTACCCAGAAATTTAAAAATTTATGTTGGCGCACTTTTTTCAGTTTCCGCCAAAAATAATTCTCTCGGCGAAATTCTTGATTTATAGTAACCTATTTTCCTTTCTAATCATTGTGCAATAGCATAAAAAAAGGCGTTTCGTTCATTTTTTCAAATAATTTTAACAATATGCGTAAAATATATTTGGCGTTATTATCGCATATAACAAATATGTCAAATTTCAAAACTCACTAATATATAAATTCACGTATGTCTTGGAAAATTTTGAAAAGGAAACTGCAATTTTTTGCAGGTATGCCTAGAAATACATCTACTTTAAGGTGATCGTATAGATTTAATAGGTTATTACTGAAAATGCTTTGGAAGAATTTATAAAAATTATTAAAAAATACAAATTTTAAGTCAATAAATTAAAAAAAATTTAAATAAATGTCAAAAAATATCAGCGAATTTTATTTGGACTGAATCTAAATTCTGAATTTTCAAAGAAAGAATGAATTAAATTTAATTAGAAAAGAGATAGTAATAAATAAATATTACAAATTCAATTAAAATTAAAGGGCTAAAATTTTGACAGATAATTTTTTTAAAAACTACTCTTACGATTTATAGAAAGCTTGCGACTTTGAAATAATTTGAATCTTAGAGTCGAAGTATGGAAACAAATCGGTATGTCATTTCAGAAAAAAAAAGAAAAAAAAAATGTGTCAAAATACCTATGTTAGATCTCTGCTATGTATAAGTATACATCCAAATTCGCGCTTTTGAGACATGAAAAGGGCAAGTTAAATTTCGTCTATTATCGGTCCAGTAGAATGAGAGATATAGAATTATTCTCTTTTTTTAATGCAGAGTGTACATTACTATCTACATCAATCTATAAATTTAGCTTGCAAGAATAAATATGCCAGCCATCCCATCGATATTTAAAAAAATCACGTTTCGACAAAAACGCGCTTTTGTGTAAAAATTTTCATTTATCAAAGCAGTCGATGACAAATTAAAACTAGATTTTTTACAGTTCTAATTTTCATAGAGATTAAAGAATAGTATTTTTAGAAAGATAAAAGTGTAGAGAATTTGAAAATGCAAAAATCCGAAATCACAATCTTTTGAAGATTTTGGAGTCCCAACAATCAGTTAATCAAAAATTCGTTAAAGTTTTACAAAATTTAGAAAAGATAATAAAACAAAGTCGAAATTCGGTCTTTCAGTGCCCAAGCTCGGTTGGAGGACTACGTTATTCAAAATTAGATGTCTCTAGGTGCCGTTGCTTTTCCACAGTGAGAGAAACATTCATATATTCATGCAGATTCTTCATTATTTTGTTTCTTTAAATATAATGCGTGGCGATAATATTTGGTGGCAACAGTTTGAAAAGTGAAACTACGCAAGATGCCATTTTGAGACTAATAGCACGTTGGGCTAATAAAAATAATCGTGGAAAACAAAAAAAAACCTATCCGGGAGATCAGCAGAATACTTTTTTTAATCTGTAACCGAAAATTCCTATAACTAAAAATTCAATTCATTAAACGTTATTGTCATTGAAGGACCTCCAAAGTTAATCAGTGGACAGCATAAGATATAAGCTGTTGCCCAATTTCTGTCTTAAAATCGTAACTTCCATAAATAAAGTAAATAAAATACGTATCAGTGTTAAGTTGTCACTCATCTATCAACTATCATTCTTATACTCACGAATAACACTTTTCACAATGCTCTGTTTTTTTACTGCATGGCAGTAACAAAAATATCAGGAAGAATAAAACTGAAATTTTGGCGTTTGTCTACCAAGTGGGCAAAAATGTGATCATGGGAAACATGACTTAAATTCTGTACTCGAATTCTTAAACCATGTTTTCTAGGTTAATTTTGTTAGTCAAAATCTTATACTTCTTAGTTATTTGATAACGCTCATCGAATTCTATGAAAGAAATTTCCAAATGAAAAGCACCTTTTATTGTTTAAAGAAATGGTATATTCAAGCAATTGCC